CATATTTTGGGGAAGATTATATATACTGGGTTTAAACGAAGAAGAGCAGAGCAGACATTGCAATTTGGGAACCACTGCTCTCCGGGTGATCTGGACACCTGTACACTTATGCTGAAATCTTGTGATATGAATAAAACTTATGATCAAAGTTCAGTATAAGCGGACTCCTTTGTTACAGCATTATTAGCAACATTGACTCGACACTACAACAATCAATTCAATCAATTGTGAATTCAGGCTGTAACAACAATGTGGAATAAGTCGAGGTATGAATACTTTCTGAAGGCGGGACATTTTCAGCGAGCCCTTTAAGGTAAGTGGGGCTCGAATGTCTGTCTGTGAGAGATGAGATTCTCCAACATGCCTCCACTAGCAGCTGAGCAAGCTCAAACTAACATTGAAAAACAACCTAGCGTGTGAACAAAACTATGTAAATAGCCAAGAAACGAGGACAATGTCACTTTAGTAGACTTTCGGTTAAATTCAATGCTTGTGCGTTTCAAAAGATATCTTTCACCACTTCACTCACAGTGCACACCACTGAGGTATATGAAAGTGCGCACCACTGAGGTACAGCGCATTTGATAAGTATTCAGACCTCTTGACTCCACATTTTGTTACGTTGTAACCTTATTCTAAAATGGATTATTATAATTTTTTGCCAATTTTATAATTTAAACACATACCTTATTTGCATAAGTATTCAGACCCTTTGCTATGTGACTCGAAATTTAGCTCCGGTGCATCCTGTTTTCATTGATCATCCTTGATGTTTCTACAACTTGATTGGAGTCCACCTGTGGTAAATTAAAATGATTGGACATGATTTGGAAAGGCACACACCTATCTATATAAGGTCCCACAGTTGACAGTGCATGTCAGAGCAAAAACCAAGCCATGAACTCGTAGGAATTGTCCATAGAGCTTTGAATTGAAGGTCCCCAAGAACACAGTGGCCTCCATCATTTTCAATAAAATAATTTTGGAACCACCAACTCTTTCTAGAGCTGGCCGCCCGGTCAAACTGAGCAATCGGGGGAGAAGGGCCTTGGTCAGGGAGGTGACTAAGAACCTGATGGTCACTCTGTGGAGATGGGAGAACTTTCCAGATGGACAACTATCTCTGCAGCACTCCACCAATCAGGCCTTTATGGTAGAGTGGCCAGATGGAAGTAACTCCTCAGTAAAAGGCACATGACAGCCCGCGTAGAGTTTGCCAAAAGGCACCGAGAAACAAGATTCTCTGGTCTGATGAAACCAAGATTGAACTCTTTGGCCTGAATGCCAAGCATCACATCTGGAAGAAACCTGGCACCATCCCTACGGTGAAGTATGGTGGTGGCAGCATCATGCTGTGGGGATGATTTTCAGCGGCAGGGACTGGGAGACTAGTCAGGATCGAGGGATAGATGAATTGAGCAAAGTACAGAGAGGTCCTTGATGAAAACCTGCTCCAGAGCGCTCAGGACCTCCAGACTGGGGTGAAGGTTCACCTTCTAACAGGATAACGACCCTAAGCACACAGCCAAGACAACGCAGGAGTGGCTTCGGGACAGTTCTCAATGTCCTTGAGTGGCCCAGCCACAGCCCGGAGCCCGGAGCACAATCTAACATCTCTGGAGAGACCCGAAAATAGCTGTGCAGCGACGCTCCCCATCCAACCTGACAGAGCTCGAGAGGATCTGTAGAGAAGAATGGGAGAAACTCCCCAAATACAGGTGTGCCAAGCTTGTAACGTCACACCCAAAAAGACTTGAGGCTGTAATTGCTGCCAAAGATGCTTCAACAAAGTACTGAGTAAAGGGTCTGAATACTTATGTAAATGTGATTTCCATTCAGAAAACCTGTTTTTACTTTGTCATTAAGGGTAGTGTGTAGATGAGGGAAACATTTGGAAAAAGTCAAAGGGTCTGAATACTTTCCGAATACACTGTATATGAACGGTGTGGGATGGCTTAATGGGAGTCGTTCTTTGTGATTAGCTATGAAACAAAACGGCAGAAAATAGCTTACGGCAGCAATTTTTTTGTTGCTATAAAATCTGAACTCGCACATGTGCTCATACTTGCCCTTTTCAGTTTGCACACATCTATTTTTAGGCACATATGCGAGTACAATGGTCACACTGTAGAGCCCTGTAAATGTACTTGGAGAATAAAGGTGATTCTGAGATGGATCTTCTCCCTTATGGAGGCCCAGGTTTTACAACTTACTCACTTGATTACAAAATCTTATCTCATCATGACTGAGAAGACCCCTCATCAAGTGTTGCTGTCCTGGAACAAACCACTGCTCCTGACATAGATGACATCCTTCTCCTCCACAAGATCTGGAATTAGAGCATTTCTGAGTGTCAAGGTATATCCAAAGGGACTTACAGGTATGAGAAATAGAGCAAAACGAAGGATTTCATCAGCATTCAGAGGCAAGGAAGTGTTTAGAGAATGCAAAAAAAATTAAAGTGACAGTTGTGTGTGCATGCAGCTATTTACCCTAGTCAGTCCATGTTGATAGAGGTCTACAGTGAACATGCAAAACAACACCCACAATACGACAGGAACTCACCAGCAGAGATGACACTTCATCATGACTGAGAAGTTGCATCCTCAAACGCTGCGGTCCTGGAACAAGCCACTGCTCCTGACATTCTGTAGATGGCGACCTACTCCACCACTAGAATGGAATGAAGGCATTAAGTGCCAGTGTAAATCAAAGTGACATTTCCATATAATAATTGGATAACATTCACATCCCCAATAAGATCACAAATAGTCAATTATCTGATTCAAAAAATATATTGCCAACACACCTTTAGGGCTTTGATGTTTTAATGGAGAAAAGTTGAAAAAGTTCAGTCCAACATGGAGAAGGGATGATAAGACCATGCTGTTTTATGGACACTGCTGCTGGAAACACATTAGCATCATCTGTGAATACAGATGTATGCAATTATTAGACCAAGCAATCACAGCTAGTTTACATTCAATTAAGTGTTGAAATGAATGCAATTGGCAGCAGTCAGATTATATTCATTCTTAGACTTAATTCAAACTCAAAATATTACACAATAACAGAAAAGCTGCATTGTGCATCCCAGTCAGACATTTAGTTGCATACCTTATCATCCAGAGGTTCACAGGTGTCAGAGGAACACCTAAAAGTGTCAGTGGAAATGTCTTTTTTTTTCACTTCCATTTTTCACCGTAGAATATCGGCATGTTCAAAATAGGAAAGTATGGGAAACAGTAAAGCAAGTCTTGATGCGGCGTGTCAAAACAGGAAGAAAAAAAATGCCCACAGAAAAACAAAATGATTGACAAATATTTGCAAAAAGAAAAACATGAACCATCCAGGTTATTTCATCAATGCATACTGTTAATTAGAAAATAAATATCCTTGTTCGCCTTATTTCTAACAAAAGGATCAACAGGTTCTTCTACAGTGGCTGTCAAAGGTAGTCTAGCGATAATCATTCTGTATTCAGTCTCTTTACAGACCAGGCATAATAAAAACGAACCAACAGGAGGCCAAGGGAATCTGCAAAATCCACTATTCAAAGACTAAACCTTTAATACAAATGAATCAAAAAATATATAGGCTACTCATTCTTGTGTACCAATTTCTGAACTTATCTAAGAAACTAGTGATGGGGGTTACATATCGCAATAGTTTTTTTGGCCGATATTATATGATTTAGGTAGCGTTAGGTTGGCTGTACCTGTGCCAAAACGCTATTGTTTTTTATCCTACAGCTTCTTCTCCATCTTCATTTTAAATAGTGAGTCAACATATTTTCAGCTCTTTTATTTCCCTGACTGATTTAAAACTTGTTCTCATGCCCTCTTAAGCAGACATAGTGAGCAATGTTCGGAACATCAAATCTCTGTAAAATTGCAGTATTGAATCGCAATACATATAGAATCGTGAGAATCGCAATACATATCGTATCGGCACCTAAGTATTGTGAGAATATTGTATCGTGAGGTCCCTGGTAATTCCCAGCCCTACAAGAAACACTAGTGTAGCCTACCATTGCACGTTTTACTGCAGTATGGCCTTATGAATACGACCGAGGAGTTGAATCTTCGGTAGGCTTGTTGACTCTTCTCTACGGAGAGTAATAGAAAGTGAGTATTGACTTCAGGGAGACCTAAAATTTGTCTTACATTACAAACCATTCACATTCCAAGTATGGTCTTTGGATCAATGTAGCTTTCAGTAATTAGAGGGCTATGAAACACACTGTGAAACTATTATGATATAGCTCAATGTATGAAAGTAAAATATGCCAGCTATAGTATGACTTTGCTTTACCTATATGAAAGTACTAGTGTGTATTAGCAGGTAGGCCTACTTCTGTCTAGAAAAAGGCTTTAAAACACATTATAAACTGGGTGGTTCGAGCCCTGAATGCTGATTGGCTGAAAGCCACCACGGATATGACAAAACATTTATTTTTACTGCTCTAATTACATTGGTAACCAGTTTATAATAGCAATAAGGCACCTCAGGGGTTGCGTCGTGCGTAAGAACAGCCCTTAGCCATGGTATATTGGCCATATACCACACCCCCCCGGGCCTTATTTGCTTAAATATCCTCCCTACAGCTGAGACAAAGATGCCAACCAGCAGAAAAGCAAATTATGCAATTAAGCTTGTTGCAAATATTTGCTCAAATAGTGGCCCATTTCAAATACACAAATTGTCATATCTTCGTGATTTTAAATCACAATAACTTTGTAAAGTGCTTCCAAAACATTACTCAAATCACTACGCTAATCAAAAATCACTAAGCTAAACTAAAATAAATTGTAAGATTAGTAGGGTCTCAAATTGCATTGGGGTTACTGCTGAGATTTTCACCACCTTTAATGTCATTTTAATGTGCACATCAGCCAGTTTCTGTTAGGCTATCTAACCTTCAGTTAGGCTGGGCTACATCCTGTCCACACTTAAGCTCCACTGCTTCTGTGCATTTCTCTCTACGCAAACCTAAGTGCTCAACGGCTCTTCTTCCTTTTGGCAAAACTCTCTTTTGCCTCACTGCTTTCTATATTGACTTTAACACTGACAGTTTTTTTTTCTTTGTCCATTGTCCGGAGCCATTCCCAAGTGCGAGTCTTCTTGAACATGTCAAAGGTTACAAATGCAACACTGACTGCATTTGACCTAGCCTTTTGCAGATTTTCAAATACCCCCAAATCCTTTCCACATCGATCATTAATATTTGATGCTGGCTCTAGATCGACAGGCATTTTACCACATACCTCCAGAAAACTTGCTAAGATCAACTCAACAATCTGAATGGTCAATTCAAAAAAGTCTGGGTCTGTCCACATGGTAAGCCTGTCCAACACAAGGTCCTTGGGCACTTCAATGTCATCAAACAACTGTCAATTTCCTTCAACAAGGTCTCTCCCAATACCCTGCCATTCAGTTTGGTAACAAGGGTTTGGTATCTTAGTTCCATCTCCAACATATTTCCCTTTGAAGTCAGGACTCTCCATAGAGGATCAATGATTAGCTTAAAAATCAGACCCAGAGCTCTGCATCCTGCTTTGAACTGTTGAACCTCCAAATCAGCAGCAACTGCTGCAAGCAAACTACTCTCAACTCTGTACTTACTGACAAACTCTACCATATCATAATGGATGCTATACACCCCTGCACTATTATGAAACAGATTGTCAATTCTGTTCCACCTGCTGGAGATAAGGGCACTTCATCAAATTCTCTTTTGCTGACCAAAAATGTTTCGAAAGGAACAAGCTGACCGTCCTCTGCCCATCCAAGCTCTTGGACAGCATCACTCACAGTTCTCACCAAACGCACTGTTCCAGCCTTAAACTCAGTTGTCCCAATGTTAGAACTATGGGTTCCTACTTCCTCATCTCCTAAAATCAGCTTTTCCCACAGTAGAATAGTTGTTTTCGCCTAGTGAGCTAAGCCATCAATCAAATGTAAGCAACAGAGGAGCTTGTTCACAATGGACATCACTGTCTTTTCAGAGTGAATCATAGTATCATTTTCCTCAACTATGAGCGCTAGGAGGTCTAATCTGTATTCAGCAAGGATTTGCTTGAATTTCTTCTCAGAACCAGTGTCAACAGCAAAGCATTTTGAAAGTTTGGAAAGAATGAACCTCTTCTGCTGCACGTCATCACACATAATGCCATTAATAATTTTCCGGCAAATGTTCAACTGGCTATCAACAGAGAGAAGATCAGGCTCTTCCTCTGACTCTTTTTCCTCGTCAGCAGGTTCATTTTTTTATTTATTTTTATTTTTGGCCGCCAAGATGTGGAGATTCACATCTTACATCTTGTTATTTTCTCAGATCTCCGTCAGAATCTTCTTGAAGTAAAGGAACTGCTTTTCTTTTCCTGGGATGAAGCACATCAGAAATGCTCTCTCTCTCGTCACAATGAAGTTCTACTTGTCTGACTTCACACATTTCAGCTTCCTTCGTCTTCTTGGTTATAAACATGTCAATTTCTTTATTTTTCCTAATTCAATCCAATCTCTCTGTTACTTCTTTCAGTCTTTGGTATTTTGGCTCAAGTGATGCTGGAATGACCATTTGGTTACTGGAAATCTCTGCCAGATTCTTTCTTTGGCATAACTTTTTTAAGAAGGCTTCCTTTTCAAACTCCCTTCTTTTTAAATTTGAACTAGTTAACTTACCCACTTTTCTAACTGTACATAACTTACCCATAATATCTTCAGCCAGCTCAGTTTTCCCACTTTGTAAGTCCAGATCAAAATTATGCTCCAGAACATCACAAACAATCTGCTTGTGAGTTCCACACACTTGTGAAGCAAAATCAGCCACTTCAAACATTACGTCTCTGGTCAATAGATGCAAGTCAAGTTTATATATATTTTTTTCCAAATTGCGATTTCACATCAAGGTCAAGTCCTTTTTCCTTACAGCGAGGGTAGAGGTACTCCAATGCTTTTTCCATTGTGGGCAGCATTAAGGATTGGTCCATTACAAGTCTGTGTGCCGTTTCATCAGCACATATTGTTATGTCTGTCTCATTTGAGGTCTCAATCTTGACAAACTGAGGACACATGGTGTCCAGTTCAGGATCTTTCTTCATACAGATGTCAGCAGGTCCATTTGCACAGCCAACTTCGCCAAGCATTGGTTTCTCATCAGCACATCGTATTACAACTGTCTCAGTAATGATCCTCTCCGTCTTCACACGCTGAGAAGATATCAGGTCCACAAAATGCTCGTCCTTTATGCTGTCAGCAGATACAGGACATTCTGACACACTGTTATGCAAGTGTATCTTTGCCCATTTAAGAGAGTATTCACTTGCTTTCAATGTCTTTGGATCAGGAAGTTCAAACACTTCTGTTAACCACCCAGGTTTTGTTTTCTTGTTATGCATCTTTAGCATTGCATTTCATTTTGACAAAGTCCGGCTTGAAAATTCATATCGTATCTCATTTTGCAGACCAAGATCAAAGTTGTAATCTAGAATATCACAAACAATGTGTTTGTGAGATCTATTAATCCATTTATCAAATTCAGAAACCTCAACCATTACTGCATTAGTCAGTAAATGCAAATCAAGTTTCTGTTTCACTCCAGTTCCGACATTCAACTCTAAGCCTATTTCCTTGCTTTTGGCGTATGGTACTTTCAAATATCTTCCAACCCATTTTGGGGTAGGTCTTGAGTAACTGACACGACACTGACGTATATATTTATCCTCTACAGTTTTTTTTTAACATTTCACTTTGAACTCATCTTCATCAGATGGAAAGTTCAATGGCTCACAATAAGATGGAAAATGAGGACTAGAAGGTATAGGCCTAGTTACATTACAGCCGCTTGCAGTAGCAAGTGAGGTTAGCACAGAAGTGATGGTAGTACTATGTCTTGTGAGATTAACATTGCCAGCTGGCAAATTATTATTGGTCTGGGTCTGTGTTTGTGAAGTAGGGTTAATTTGAACTTCAAAATAACTTGTTTCTGCAGTTGGCAGTGGTGATTGTGGAAAGGTGAACACATTTTCTATCTTAATATCACTGGGCGGTGCATCATGCCATCTTTGATCAAATGCTCTTCAGATGTGCTGCTGGCATCTTGGTTTTCACAGAAATAAACCCCTTTTACCGCTTTAATCTCTCCATCACTTGATCCTGCCTCTTAAGGCAAAATACGTAAAATCTGCCCTTGTGTTGTTGTTTGGGGACTAACTGTAGGCATATGTGAGTGATCGTTCTGTAAACCCACTTGGGAAACTAAAGACCACGGGACCAGGCATATACAAATCTAATTCGTCTTAAACTTTACATTTTCATCAATCTCACTTGATCTTGTGTTCACATGCGTTGTTTCATGAGGCGTTGTGGTAGGCCTATATGGGTAACTTATCTGTGTATCAATAGTATTAGACCAAGTATTTGCTTGGGATATTTCCTTTTCATTCTCCATCTTTACATCCATATTCATTTTCTCACCAATGTACTACACAAAGGGGGGAAAGTCAATCACGAGTGTATGCATAACAGGCCATCGCAATAGGCTACATACAGTTGAAGTCAGAAGTTATTTTATTTTTTTAAATTTTATTTCACCTTTATTTAACCAGGTAAGCCAGTTGAGAACAAGTTCTCATTTACAACTGCGACCTGGCCAAGATAAAGCAAAGCAGTGCGATAAAAACAACAACACAAAGTAACATATGGGGTAAACAAAACATAAAGTCAAAAATACAACAGAAAATATATATACAGTGTGTGCGAATGTAGTAAGTTATGGAGGTAAGGTAATAAATAGGCCATAGTGCAAAATAGTTACAATTTCGTATAATACTGGAATGATAGATGTGCAAAAGATGATGTGCAAATAGAGATACTGGGGTGCAAATTAGCAAAATAAATAACAATATGGGGATGAGGTAGTTGGGTGGGCTAATTTCAGAAAGGCTGTGTACAGGTGCAGTGATCGGTAAGCTGCTCCGACAACTGACGCTTAAAGTTAGTGAGGGAGATAAGAGTCTCCAGCTTCAGAGATTTTTGCAGTTTGTTCCAGTCATTGGCAGCAGAGAACTGGAAGAAATGGCGGCCAAAGGAGGTGTTGACTTTGGGGATGACCAGTGAGATATACCTGCTGGAGCGCAGACTACGGGTGGGTGTTGCTATGGTGACCAGTGAGCTAAGATAATATGGGGATTTGCCTAGCAGTGATTTATAGATGACCTGGATCCAGTGGGTTTGGCGACGAATATGTAGTGAGGGCCAGCCAACAAGAGCGTACAGGTCACAATGGTGGGTAGTATATGGGGCCTTGGTGACAAAATGGATGGCACTGTGATAGACTACATCCAATTTGCTGAGTAGGGTGTTGGAGGCTATTTTGTAAATTACATCGCCGAAGTCAAGGATTGGTAGGATAGTCAGTTTTACGAGGGAATGTTTGGCAGCATGAGTGAAGGAGGCTTTGTTGCGAAATAGGAAGCAGATTCTAGATCTATCTTTTGATTGGAGATGCTTAATGTGAGTCTGGAAGGAGAGTTTACAGTCTAACCAGACACCTAGGTATTTGTAGTTGCCCACATACTCTAGGTCAGACCCGCCGAGAGTAGTGATTCTAGTCGGGTGGGCGGGTGCAAGCAGCGTTCGGTTGAAGAGCATGCATTTAGTTTTACTAGTGTTTAAGAGCAGTTGGAGGCTATGGAAGGAGTGTTGTATGGCATTGAAGCTCGTTTGGAGGTTTGTTAACACAGTGTCCAATGAAGGGCCAGATGTAAACAAAATGGTGTCGTCCGCATAGAGGTGGATCTGAGCGTCACCAGCAGCAAGAGCGACATCATTGATATACACAGAGAATAGAGTCGGCCCGAGAATTGAACCCTGTGGCACACCCATAGAGACGGCCAGAGGTCCAGACAACAGGCCCTCCGATTTGACACATTGAACTCTATCTGAGAAGTAGTTGGTGAACCAGGCGAGGCAGTCATTAGAGAAACCAAGGCTATTTAGTCTGCCAATAAGAATGCGGTGGTTGACAGAGTCGAAAGCCTTGGCCAGGTCGATGAAGACGGCTGCGCAGTACTGTCTTTTATCGATTGCGTTTATAATATCGTTTAGAACCTTGAGCATGGCTGAGGTGCACCCATGACCAGCTCGGAAACCGGATTGCATAGCAGAGAAGGTACGGTGGGATTCGAAATGGTCGGTGATCTGTTTGTTAACTTGGCTTTCAAATACTTTCGAAAGGCAGGGCAGGATGGATATAGGTCTATAACAGTTAGGATCTAGAGTGTCACCCCCTTTGAAGAGTGGGATGACCGGGGCAGCTTTCCAATCTCTGGGGATCTCAGACGTTACGAAAGAGAGGTTGAACAGGCTAGTAATAGGGGTTGCGACAATTTCTGAGGCTAATTTTAGAAAGAAAGGGTCCAGATTGTCTAGCCCAGCTGATTTGTAGGGGTCCAGATTTTTTAGCTCTTTCAGAACATCAGCTGTCTGAATTTGTGTGAAGGAGAAGCGGGGGGGGGGCATGGGCAAGTTGCAGCGGAGGGTGCAGAGCTGGTGGCCGGGGTAGTGGTAGCCAGGTGGAAAGCATGGCCAGCCGTAGCAAAATGCTTGTTGAAATTCTCGATTATTGTAGATTTATCGGTGGTGACAGTGTTTCCTAGCCTCAGTGCAGTGGGCAGTTGGGAGGAGGTGCTCTTATTTTCCATGGACTTTACAGTGTCCCAAAACTTTTTGGAGTTAGTGCTACAGGATGCAAATTTCTGTTTGAAAAAGCTAGCCTTTGCTTTCCTAACTGATTGTGTATATTGGTTCCTGACTTCCCTAAAAAGTTGCATATCGCGGGGGCTGTTCGATGCTAATGCAGTACGCCACAGGATGTTTTTGTGCTGGTCAAGGGCAGTCAAGTCTGAGGAGAACCAGGGGCTATATCTGTTCTTAGTTCTGAATTTTTTGAATGGGGCATGCTTATTTAAGATTGAGAGGAAATCAATTTTAAAGAACAACCAGGCATCCTCTACTGACGGAATGAGGTCAATATCCATCCAGGATACCCGGGCCAGGTCAATTAGAAAGGCCTGCTCGCTAAAGTGTTTTAGGGAGCGTTTGACAGTGATGAGGGGTGGTCATTTGATCGCGGACCCATTACGGACGCAGGCAATAAGGCAGTGATCGCTGAGATCCTGGTTGAAGACAGCGGAGGTGTATTTAGAGGGTAAATTTGTCAGGATGATATCTATGAGGGTGCCCATGTTTACAGATTTAGGTTTGTACCTGGTAGGTTTGTTGATAATTTGTGTGAGATTGAGGGCATCTAGTTTAGATTGTAGGTTGGCCGGGGTGTTAAGCATATCCCAGTTTAGGTCACCAAGCAGTACGAACTCTGAGGATAGATGGGGGGCAATCAATTCACATATGGTGTCCAGGGCACAGCTTGGGGCTGAGGGGGGTCTGTAGCAAGCGGCAACAGTGAGAGACTTATTTCTGGAAAGGTGGATTTTTAGAAGTAGGAGCTCAAACTGTTTGGGCACAGACCTGGATAGTATGATAGAGCTCTGCAGGCTATCTCTATAGTAGATTGCAACTCCACCCCCTTTGGCAGTTCTATTTAGACGGAAAATGTTGTAGTTGGGGATGGACATTTCTGAATTTTTGGTGGCCTTCCTAAGCCAGGATTCAGACACTGCTAGAACATCAGGGTTGGCGGAGTGTGCTAACGCAGTGAATAACTTAGGGAGGAGGCTTCGGATGTTAACATGCAAGAAACCAAGGCTTTTACAGTTACAGAAGTCAACAAATGATAACGCCTGGGGAGTAGGACTGATACTGGGGGCTACAGGGCCTGGGTTAACCTCTACATCACCAGTGGAACAGAGGAGGAGTAGAATAAGGATATGGCTAAAGGCTTTAAGTACTGGTCTTCTAGTGTGTTGGGTACAGAGAAAAAAAGGGGCAGATTTCCGGGAGTTGTAGAATAGATTCAGGGCATTATGTACAGACAAGGATATGGAAGGATATGAGTACAGTGGAGGTAAACCTAAGCGTTGGGTAACGATGAAAGAGATAGCATCACTGGAGGCATCGATTGAGTCGGTCTCCGCGTGTATGGGGGGTGGGACAAAGGAGCTATCTAAGGCAGGTTGAGCTGGGTTGGGGGATCTACAGTGAAATAGTACAATAAGAAATAACCAAAAGAGCAATAAGCAAGGCATATTGACATGGGAGAGAGGCATAAAGCAATCACAGGTGTTATTCGAGAGAGCTAAGACAACAGCTGGTAATGGCAACAAAGTTTGGGCTGAGGCTAAACATAAACAGGATGCGGTACCGTATAAAGGAACAGTCCAGCAGGCATCAGCTGTATAGCTGAGTTATCATAAGGTCCGGTGAACAGCAATAGGAGAGTTCGGAGGTAGTTCGGGGGCTACTACAGCAGTGGCGAGCAAGAGGCCACGGCTTGCGTGTGCTAGCGGGCCGGGGATAGCAGATGGATCTTCGTGGTCGACGTCATAACGGGAAGCCTGTTGAAACCACATCAGACGATTTCGTCAGCAGACCAGTCGTGTTGGATCGGCGGGGCTCCGTGTCAACACTAGGAGGTCCCGTCCGGTTGACAGAGAGGTAGATAGCCAGGAGATGGGCCTGGCTCGAGGCTAGCTCAAGGCTGATTAGCCAACAACAACATCCATTTGGTTGCAGCTAGCTAGTTGCGATGATCCGGTGTTAAAGGTCCAGTGATTCAGTGATTCCGGCAGAAAAACCGATATGTTCTGGGTCGATAACGCGCTGTGCAGACAGTGCAGACTGGCCGATAATAGTCCAGGCTAGAGCTGGCTGGTAGGTAGTGCAGGCCACGGACAATGGTGAAAAACCGCTAACGGTGGCTAATATCGAGTAGCTAGTTAGCTGGCTACTCCCGTCCGGTAGACAGAGAGCTAGATAGCCGGGATATGGGCTTTAGGCTAGCTCAAGGCTAACTGGTGCTTGCTTCGGGGGCAGTGGTGATTAGCCAACAGCAACATCCATTCGGTTGCGGCTAGCTAGTTGCGATCCGGTGTTAATGTCCAGTGATTCAGTTATTCCGGCAGAAAATCCGATGTTCTGGGTGAAAACCACTAATGGTGGCTAATAGCAAGTAGCGAGTTAGCTGGCCAGCTTGTTTCAACTGGAGATTCTAGATAAAAGGTAAGTCAATAATATAATCCTTCCACATTGAGTGAGGCGGGTTGCAGGAAAGTATATTTAGTAGAAGGATGAAAAGTGTGATAGGGAAATATGTAAAAAAATAAAAAAGAACACGACCGCACTGCTACGTCATCTTTGATATATACAGTGGGGAAAAAAAGTATTTAGTCTACCACCAATTGTGCAAGTTCTCCCACTTAAAAAGATGAGAGAGCCCTGTAATTTTCATCATAGGTACACGTCAACTATGACAGACAAATTGAGAATATTTTTTCCAGAAAATCACATTGTAGGATTTTTTATGAATTTATTTGCAAATTATGGTGGAGAATAAGTATTTGGTCACCTACAATCAAGCAAGATTTCTGGCTCTCACAGACCTGTACTTCTTCTTTAAGAGGCTTCTCTGTCCTCCACTCATTACCTGTATTAATGGCACCTGTTTGAACTTGTTATCAGTATAAAAGACACCTGTCCACAACGTCAAACAGTCACACTCCAAACTCCACTATGGCCAAGACCAAAGAGCTGTCAAAGGACACCAGAAACAAAATCTCAAATTGCATTGGGGTTACTGCTGAGATTTTCACCACCTTTAATGTCATTTTAATGTGCACATCAGCCAGTTTCTGTTAGGCTATCTAACCTTCAGTTAGGCTGGGCTACATCCTGTCCACACTTAAGCTCCACTGCTTCTGTGCATTTCTCTCTACGCAAACCTAAGTGCTCAACGGCTCTTCTTCCTTTTGGCAAAACTCTCTTTTGCCTCACTGCTTTCTATATTGACTTTAACACTGACAGTTTTTTTTTCTTTGTCCATTGTCCGGAGCCATTCCCAAGTGCGAGTCTTCTTGAACATGTCAAAGGTTACAAATGCAACACTGACTGCATTTGACCTAGCCTTTTGCAGATTTTCAAATACCCCCAAATCCTTTCCGCATCGATCATTAATATTTGATGCTGGCTCTAGATCGACAGGCATTTTACCACATACCTCCAGAAAACTTGCTAAGATCAACTCAACAATCTGAATGGTCAATTCAAAAAAGTCTGGGTCTGTCCACATGGTAAGCCTGTCCAACACAAGGTCCTTGGGTACTTCAATGTCATCAAACAACTGTCAATTTCCTTCAACAAGGTCTCTCCCAATACCCTGCCATTCAGTTTGGTAACAAGGGTTTGGTATCTTAGTTCCATCTCCAACATATTTCCCTTTGAAGTCAGGACTCTCCATAGAGGATCAATGATTAGCTTAAAAATCAGACCCAGAGCTCTGCATCCTGCTTTGAACTGTTGAACCTCCAAATCAGCAGCAACTGCTGCAAGCAAACTACTCTCAACTCTGTACTTACTGACAAACTCTACCATATCATAATGGATGCTATACACCCCTGCACTATTATGAAACAGATTGTCAATTCTGTTCCACCTGCTGGAGATAAGGGCACTTCATCAAATTCTCTTTTGCTGACCAAAAATGTTTCGAAAGGAACAAGCTGACCGTCCTCTGCCCATCCAAGCTCTTGGACAGCATCACTCACAGTTCTCACCAAACGCACTGTTCCAGCCTTAAACTCAGTTGTCCCAATGTTAGAACTATGGGTTCCTACTTCCTCATCTCCTAAAATCAGCTTTTCCCACAGTAGAATAGTTGTTTTCGCCTAGTGAGCTAAGCCATCAATCAAATGTAAGCAACAGAGGAGCTTGTTCACAATGGACATCACTGTCTTTTCAGAGTGAATCATAGTATCATTTTCCTCAACTATGAGCGCTAGGAGGTCTAATCTGTATTCAGCAAGGATTTGCTTGAATTTCTTCTCAGAACCAGTGTCAACAGCAAAGCATTTTGAAAGTTTGGAAAGAATGAACCTCTTCTGCTGCACGTCATCACACATAATGCCATTAATAATTTTCCGGCAAATGTTCAACTGGCTATCAACAGAGAGAAGATCAGGCTCTTCCTCTGACTCTTTTTCCTCGTCAGCAGGTTCATTTTTTTATTTTTTTTTATTTTTGGCCGCCAAGATGTGGAGATTCACATCTTACATCTTGTTATTTTCTCAGATCTCCGTCAGAATCTTCTTGAAGTAAAGGAACTGCTTTTCTTTTCCTGGGATGAAGCACATCAGAAATGCTCTCTCTCTCGTCACAATGAAGTTCTACTTGTCTGACTTCACACATTTCAGCTTCCTTCGTCTTCTTGGTTATAAACATGTCAATTTCTTTATTTTTCCTAATTCAATCCAATCTCTCTGTTACTTCTTTCAGTCTTTGGTATTTTGGCTCAAGTGATGCTGGAATGACCATTTGGTTACTGGAAATCTCTGCCAGATTCTTTCTTTGGCATAACTTTTTTAAGAAGGCTTCCTTTTCAAACTCCCTTCTTTTTAAATTTGAACTAGTTAACTTACCCACTTTTCTAACTGTACATAACTTACCCATAATATCTTCAGCCAGCTCAGTTTTCCCACTTTGTAAGTCCAGATCAAAATTATGCTCCAGAACATCACAAACAATCTGCTTGTGAGTTCCACACACTTGTGAAGCAAAATCAGCCACTTCAAACATTACGTCTCTGGTCAATAGATGCAAGTCAAGTTTATATATTTTTTTTTCCAAATTGCGATTTCACATCAAGGTCAAGTCCTTTTTCCTTACAGCGAGGGTAGAGGTACTCCAATGCTTTTTCCATTGTGGGCAGCATTAAGGATTGGTCCATTACAAGTCTGTGTGCCGTTTCATCAGCACATATTGTTATGTCTGTCTCATTTGAGGTCTCAATCTTGACAAACTGAGGACACATGGTGTCCAGTTCAGGATCTTTCTTCATACAGATGTCAGCAGGTCCATTTGCACAGCCAACTTCGCCAAGCATTGGTTTCTCATCAGCACATCGTATTACAACTGTCTCAGTAATGATCCTCTCCGTCTTCACACGCTGAGAAGATATCAGGTCCACAAAATGCTCGTCCTTTATGCTGTCAGCAGATACAGGACATTCTGACACACTGTTATGCAAGTGTATCTTTGCCCATTTAAGAGAGTATTCACTTGCTTTCGATGTCTTTGGATCAGGAAGTTCAAACACTTCTGTTAACCACCCAGGTTTTGTTTTCTTGTTATGCATCTTTAGCATTGCATTTCATTTTGACAAAGTCCGGCTTGAAAATTCATATCGTATCTCATTTTGCAGACCAAGATCAAAGTTGTAATCTAGAATATCACAAACAATGTGTTTGTGAGATCTATTAATCCATTTATCAAATTCAGAAACCTCAACCATTACTGCATTAGTCAGTAAATGCAAATCAAGTTTCTGTTTCACTCCAGTTCCGACATTCAACTCTAAGCCTATTTCCTTGCTTTTGGCGTATGGTACTTTCAAATATCTTCCAACCCATTTTGGGGTAGGTCTTGAGTAACTGACACGACACTGACGTATATATTTATCCTCTACAGTTTTTTTTTAACATTTCACTTTGAACTCATCTTCATCAGATGGAAAGTTCAATGGCTCACAATAAGATGGAAAATGAGGACTAGAAGGTATAGGCCTAGTTACATTACAGCCGCTTGCAGTAGCAAGTGAGGTTAGCACAGAAGTGATGGTAGTACTATGTCTTGTGAGATTAACATTGCCAGCTGGCAAATTATTATTGGTCTGGGTCTGTGTTTGTGAAGTAGGGTTAATTTGAACTTCAAAATAACTTGTTTCTGCAGTTGGCAGTGGTGATTGTGGAAAGGTGAACACATTTTCTATCTTAATATCACTGGGCGGTGCATCATGCCATCTTTGATCAAATGCTCTTCAGATGTGCTGCTGGCATCTTGGTTTTCACAGAAATAAACCCCTTTTACCGCTTTAATCTCTCCATCACTTGATCCTGCCTCTTAAGGCAAAATACGTAAAATCTGCCCTTGTGTTGTTGTTTGGGGACTAACTGTAGGCATATGTGAGTGATCGTTCTGTAAACCCACTTGGGAAACTAAAGACCACGGGACCAGGCATATACAAATCTAATTCGTCTTAAACTTTACATTTTCATCAATCTCACTTGATCTTGTGTTCACATGCGTTGTTTCATGAGGCGTTGTGGTAGGCCTATATGGGTAACTTATCTGTGTATCAATAGTATTAGACCAAGTATTTGCTTGGGATATTTCCTTTTCATTCTCCATCTTTACATCCATATTCATTTTCTCACCAATGTACTACACAAAGGGGGGAAAGTCAATCACGAGTGTATGCATAACAGGCCATCGCAATAGGCTACATACAGTTGAAGTCAGAAGTTATTTTATTTTTTTAAATTTTATTTCACCTTTATTTAACCAGGTAAGCCAGTTGAGAACAAGTTCTCATTTACAACTGCGACCTGGCCAAGATAAAGCAAAGCAGTGCGATAAAAACAACAACACAAAGTAACATATGGGGTAAACAAAACATAAAGTCAAAAATACAACAGAAAATATATATACAGTGTGTGCGAATGTAGTAAGTTATGGAGGTAAGGTAATAAATAGGCCATAGTGCAAAATAGTTACAATTTCGTATAATACTGGAATGATAGATGTGCAAAAGATGATGTGCAAATAGAGATACTGGGGTGCAAATTAGCAAAATAAATAACAATATGGGGATGAGGTAGTTGGGTGGGCTAATTTCAGAAAGGCTGTGTACAGGTGCAGTGATCGGTAAGCTGCTCCGACAACTGACGCTTAAAGTTAGTGAGGGAGATAAGAGTCTCCAGCTTCAGAGATTTTTGCAGTTTGTTCCAGTCATTGGCAGCAGAGAACTGGAAGAAATGGCGGCCAAAGGAGGTGTTGACTTTGGGGATGACCAGTGAGATATACCTGCTGGAGCGCAGACTACGGGTGGGTGTTGCTATGGTGACCAGTGAGCTAAGATAATATGGGGATTTGCCTAGCAGTGATTTATAGATGACCTGGATCCAGTGGGTTTGGCGACGAATATGTAGTGAGGGCCAGCCAACAAGAGCGTACAGGTCACAATGGTGGGTAGTATATGGGGCCTTGGTGACAAAATGGATGGCACTGTGATAGACTACATCCAATTTGCTGAGTAGGGTGTTGGAGGCTATTTTGTAAATTACATCGCCGAAGTCAAGGATTGGTAGGATAGTCAGTTTTACGAGGGAATGTTTGGCAGCATGAGTGAAGGAGGCTTTGTTGCGAAATAGGAAGCAGATTCTAGATCTATCTTTTGATTGGAGATGCTTAATGTGAGTCTGGAAGGAGAGTTTACAGTCTAACCAGACACCTAGGTATTTGTAGTTGCCCACATACTCTAGGTCAGACCCGCCGAGAGTAGTGATTCTAGTCGGGTGGGCGGGTGCAAGCAGCGTTCGGTTGAAGAGCATGCATTTAGTTTTACTAGTGTTTAAGAGCAGTTGGAGGCTATGGAAGGAGTGTTGTATGGCATTGAAGCTCGTTTGGAGGTTTGTTAACACAGTGTCCAATGAAGGGCCAGATGTAAACAAAATGGTGTCGTCCGCATAGAGGTGGATCTGAGCGTCACCAGCAGCAAGAGCGACATCATTGATATACACAGAGAATAGAGTCGGCCCGAGAATTGAACCCTGTGGCACACCCATAGAGACGGCCAGAGGTCCAGACAACAGGCCCTCCGATTTGACACATTGAACTCTATCTGAGAAGTAGTTGGTGAACCAGGCGAGGCAGTCATTAGAGAAACCAAGGCTATTTAGTCTGCCAATAAGAATGCGGTGGTTGACAGAGTCGAAAGCCTTGGCCAGGTCGATGAAGACGGCTGCGCAGTACTGTCTTTTATCGATTGCGTTTATAATATCGTTTAGAACCTTGAGCATGGCTGAGGTGCACCCATGACCAGCTCGGAAACCGGATTGCATAGCAGAGAAGGTACGGTGGGATTCGAAATGGTCGGTGATCTGTTTGTTAACTTGGCTTTCAAATACTTTCGAAAGGCAGGGCAGGATGGATATAGGTCTATAACAGTTAGGATCTAGAGTGTCACCCCCTTTGAAGAGTGGGATGACCGGGGCAGCTTTCCAATCTCTGGGGATCTCAGACGTTACGAAAGAGAGGTTGAACAGGCTAGTAATAGGGGTTGCGACAATTTCTGAGGCTAATTTTAGAAAGAAAGGGTCCAGATTGTCTAGCCCAGCTGATTTGTAGGGGTCCAGATTTTTTAGCTCTTTCAGAACATCAGCTGTCTGAATTTGTGTGAAGGAGAAGCGGGGGGGGGGCATGGGCAAGTTGCAGCGGAGGGTGCAGAGCTGGTGGCCGGGGTAGTGGTAGCCAGGTGGAAAGCATGGCCAGCCGTAGCAAAATGCTTGTTGAAATTCTCGATTATTGTAGATTTATCGGTGGTGACAGTGTTTCCTAGCCTCAGTGCAGTGGGCAGTTGGGAGGAGGTGCTCTTATTTTCCATGGACTTTACAGTGTCCCAAAACTTTTTGGAGTTAGTGCTACAGGATGCAAATTTCTGTTTGAAAAAGCTAGCCTTTGCTTTCCTAACTGATTGTGTATATTGGTTCCTGACTTCCCTAAAAAGTTGCATATCGCGGGGGCTGTTCGATGCTAATGCAGTACGCCACAGGATGTTTTTGTGCTGGTCAAGGGCAGTCAAGTCTGAGGAGAACCAGGGGCTATATCTGTTCTTAGTTCTGAATTTTTTGAATGGGGCATGCTTATTTAAGATTGAGAGGAAATCAATTTTAAAGAACAACCAGGCATCCTCTACTGACGGAATGAGGTCAATATCCATCCAGGATACCCGGGCCAGGTCAATTAGAAAGGCCTGCTCGCTAAAGTGTTTTAGGGAGCGTTTGACAGTGATGAGGGGTGGTCATTTGATCGCGGACCCATTACGGACGCAGGCAATAAGGCAGTGATCGCTGAGATCCTGGTTGAAGACAGCGGAGGTGTATTTAGAGGGTAAATTTGTCAGGATGATATCTATGAGGGTGCCCATGTTTACAGATTTAGGTTTGTACCTGGTAGGTTTGTTGATAATTTGTGTGAGATTGAGGGCATCTAGTTTAGATTGTAGGTTGGCCGGGGTGTTAAGCATATCCCAGTTTAGGTCACCAAGCAGTACGAACTCTGAGGATAGATGGGGGGCAATCAATTCACATATGGTGTCCAGGGCACAGCTTGGGGCTGAGGGGGGTCTGTAGCAAGCGGCAACAGTGAGAGACTTATTTCTGGAAAGGTGGATTTTTAGAAGTAGGAGCTCAAACTGTTTGGGCACAGACCTGGATAGTATGATAGAGCTCTGCAGGCTATCTCTATAGTAGATTGCAACTCCACCCCCTTTGGCAGTTCTATTTAGACGGAAAATGTTGTAGTTGGGGATGGACATTTCTGAATTTTTGGTGGCCTTCCTAAGCCAGGATTCAGACACTGCTAGAACATCAGGGTTGGCGGAGTGTGCTAACGCAGTGAATAACTTAGGGAGGAGGCTTCGGATGTTAACATGCAAGAAACCAAGGCTTTTACAGTTACAGAAGTCAACAAATGATAACGCCTGGGGAGTAGGAGTGATACTGGGGGCTACAGGGCCTGGGTTAACCTCTACATCACCAGTGGAACAGAGGAGGAGTAGAATAAGGATATGGCTAAAGGCTTTAAGTACTGGTCTTCTAGTGTGTTGGGTACAGAGAAAAAAAGGGGCAGATTTCCGGGAGTTGTAGAATAGATTCAGGGCATTATGTACAGACAAGGATATGGAAGGATATGAGTACAGTGGAGGTAAACCTAAGCGTTGGGTAACGATGAAAGAGATAGCATCACTGGAGGCACCGATTGAGTCGGTCTCCGCGTGTATGGGGGGTGGGACAAAGGAGCTATCTAAGGCAGGTTGAGCTGGGTTGGGGGATCTACAGTGAAATAGTACAATAAGAAATAACCAAAAGAGCAATAAGCAAGGCATATTGACATGGGAGAGAGGCATAAAGCAATCACAGGTGTTATTCGAGAGAGCTAAGACAACAGCTGGTAATGGCAACAAAGTTTGGGCTGAGGCTAAACATAAACAGGATGCGGTACCGTATAAAGGAACAGTCCAGCAGGCATCAGCTGTATAGCTGAGTTATCATAAGGTCCGGTGAACAGCAATAGGAGAGTTCGGAGGTAGTTCGGGGGCTACTACAGCAGTGGCGAGCAAGAGGCCACGGCTTGCGTGTGCTAGCGGGCCGGGGATAGCAGATGGATCTTCGTGGTCGACGTCATAACGGGAAGCCTGTTGAAACCACATCAGACGATTTCGTCAGCAGACCAGTCGTGTTGGATCGGCGGGGCTCCGTGTCAACACTAGGAGGTCCCGTCCGGTTGACAGAGAGGTAGATAGCCAGGAGATGGGCCTGGCTCGAGGCTAGCTCAAGGCTGATTAGCCAACAACAACATCCATTTGGTTGCAGCTAGCTAGTTGCGATGATCCGGTGTTAAAGGTCCAGTGATTCAGTGATTCCGGCAGAAAAACCGATATGTTCTGGGTCGATAACGCGCTGTGCAGACAGTGCAGACTGGCCGATAATAGTCCAGGCTAGAGCTGGCTGGTAGGTAGTGCAGGCCACGGACAATGGTGAAAAACCGCTAACGGTGGCTAATATCGAGTAGCTAGTTAGCTGGCTACTCCCGTCCGGTAGACAGAGAGCTAGATAGCCGGGATATGGGCTTTAGGCTAGCTCAAGGCTAACTGGTGCTTGCTTCGGGGGCAGTGGTGATTAGCCAACAGCAACATCCATTCGGTTGCGGCTAGCTAGTTGCGATCCGGTGTTAATGTCCAGTGATTCAGTTATTCCGGCAGAAAATCCGATGTTCTGGGTGAAAACCACTAATGGTGGCTAATAGCAAGTAGCTAGTTAGCTGGCCAGCTTGTTTCAACTGGAGATTCTAGATAAAAGGTAAGTCAATAATATAATCCTTCCACATTGAGTGAGGCGGGTTGCAGGAAAGTATATTTAGTAGAAGGATGAAAAGTGTGATAGGGAAATATGTAAAAAAATAAAAAAGAACACGACCGCACTGCTACGTCATCTTTGATATATACAGTGGGGAAAAAAAGTATTTAGTCAGCCACCAATTGTGCAAGTTCTCCCACTTAAAAAGATGAGAGAGCCCTGTAATTTTCATCATAGGTACACGTCAACTATGACAGACAAATTGAGAATTTTTTTTCCAGAAAA